AGGCTCTATTCCATTATAAAGCCTCATCCGGTTCTTTCAAACCAGGAACTCAGCGGGACGACTCAGACCACTTGAGTATATAAAAAATATATCCGTGCTGGTTTATTCAAAAAGTCACAGGCAAGAATTCACACTTCAAGTCCAGAGATCTTCCAACCCCCAGCCTGCCAAAAGCAGCCCGGAAACAGGAAGACCCCGAACCAAGCATTGCTATACAATATTAATCCTTTCTGGGCTGTCGAACCGTGACGTCACCCGATAAGCAAGCTTTGCAGCTGCTCTATCGTTTAGCCAAAACATGAGGAAAAGTCAAGGTGCGTGACTGTTGTTTTCGTGGTGTGTATCTAAAACAATTGGACATAACCTTACACATTAAGACAAATATTAAGACTAGCATTACAGTTGACACTAACAGCAGTTTTCCTGTAACCTTGACGTGCCTGCAGTCTGCACTGCAGGCTGAATAGTTAACAGCCTAAGCCAGTCACCCTGTCTGAACTAAACATTCATAGACAACAAATCTCTGAATATCTATCTAACTAAAAAATAACCCAACAGTAGTCAGCAGACTTCTTTGCTGCTCTGTTAAGTCTGTAATTGTTTATTCAGCATTTGAGCTTTCATTATTTATAGGGCTGGGTGTAGTATTCTGATATTGGTTTGCCTAATGGCAAGTTAGGAATAATGTTTTCTCTGCTCTTATTGGTTGTTCTGTATGCCAGTCTAAGCAGGCCAGATGGGTGTAGTGGGTGTGGTAACCTGCGGATAAGGAAGTATTACTGCTGCTGATAAGTTGTTGACTGCGTTAATAAAAATACCTCGTAAATCTGAGTCAGCATGCTATAAGAGCCTTAATGCTACACTAATAAGACTGAGAACACGACACTGGGCAAGTTAACACGTTATTTTCGCGTTAACGTAATACTTCATTAATGCCGACAATTATTTTATCACGCATTAACGCAGTTTATTTTTATTATTATTTTGAAAGTCCGTTGCTCACTGGATACACATACAGGCAAACCATGGGTAACAGGAGGGGTGGGATGTTGATTAGTACTGGCTTGAGATGGGCGTCATCACGCATCTCAACCAATAAGAGCATTTGGGGTGGGCGTAAGACTGCTGTAGCGCTCACTTGAACTGGAACTGAATAGAACTGACAGGGACAGAAAAATGGAGAAAGGTAAAGGACTCTTACTTGGACATTTTCAATTTCAATCTCTTCCGCACAGAGTTGATAGAACCAATGTCATTTGCAAAGCTGAATTTTCTTATCACCGGAGTACTTCGAGTCTGAAGTATCACTTAAATGCAATACACACGTTGATGCCAGCAAATCACATAAAGTCAGCACACTTAGCACAGATAGCGCAAGAAATATGATCGCTGCTGTGAGACACCTGCCTTTTGAACACGTTCCCTGCGTCCGCGCACAGTCTCCATCGTTCTGTCACAGTTTCTCTGCAGAACAGTGCGTTTGACAGTGTCCTGGCCAAATGCAGAAAAGTTGTGGGCCACTTTAAACACAGCCCAGCAATTGCTGCGGAATTAGAACAACAACAAATTGAACGTGGACAAGGAGGAGTCACTTATACAAGACATTCCAACCAGATGGAATTCGACTCTGGACATGATAAAAAGTGTCCACAGAAATGAACAGCCACTGAGGGATGTCCTCACCACACACACCACCAAGATTGCCATGCCAGCTATAGCTGAAATGGACAAACTGCAGAGGTTGGAAATGCTACTGGAGCCCTACAGGTATATTTTACTTCATATATTTCTCACTGTCCTGTCTGAGTGCATGTGAGAGAGAAATAGAGTTTCTGTATGTGTGTGTAAATATAGAATGAATATGTAGAGGACATTTTTGTTTGTATATAAGTAAGTGAATGCAATACATTTTGACTGAAATTGGTTTGTTTTTTTCCTGTTACAGGCATGTGACTGAACTTCTGGGAGGAGAAAAATATGTTTCATGCTCTGTGATTCTGCCTGCTTTTTGCCATCTCTCTCAGGTGAAGGAGACCTCAAATGAGGACCCTGCCTACATGGTCAAATTCAAGTCTACACTCAACAGACCTGGAGACACACAAGGAAAATGCCAACATTGCATATCTGAAGATTGCTACCCCATTGGACCCAAGATTCAAGGACCTCAAGTGTATACCCAGAGCTGAGAGGGGTGAGGTGTGGGCCTCAGCCACCAACTTACTCAAGGAACAGAGGGTTGTTGCAGAGAAACCTGTGGAAGCAACAACATCAGAGCCACCAAAGAAAAAGTTAGCCTCAGATGAGAACAGTGTGCGTTGATACAGAACAGAGCCCACAATCAGTACAGAGGTCTGTCCGTTAGAGTGGTGGTCCAAACATACAGGCTCACACAGCAGGCTGGCCTCCACTGCACAGAAGTACTTGGCCACAGCTGCAACATCCGTACCCTGTGAAAGGTTGTTTTCTCTTGCTGGTCATATTGTACAGAAGAAGAGAGTTTCTTTATCTTCTGAAAATGTAAATGACCTTGTGTGTCTGAGCAACTGGCTTGGTGCAGAGGAGTAAGGAATAAGTCCCCTACACAGTAAATCCCAGCTGTGTACTTTTTTGTGCTCTTCCACTTCACCTCACTCTAACAGGGATACTTGCTACTGAACATTGACTGTTTATGCTGCTCCCTGATAAAAGAAAAAATATTTCTGCTGGTATCTGTTCAGAAAAAAGAAAGAAAACAGATTTATAAATGTTGCTGCCTGTTATGTTATGATTGTGGCTCTAGACTCCGAGGGTAACTTGTTTTCTGTAACAGACTAAATAAAATATTAATGCCCTGGCAGTGGCAAATAGTTTTGGTTTTTTATTTGATTTGATTACATTGTTTGAAATTTGCTGCTACTGTGTAAAGGGAATGCTTCTGTTAAAAATCACCTTATTTTTTTAAAGTGTTTGCAAACCAAATGTTATTGCACTTTTGTTCATATAATACTACTTTTAAAATAAATGTGCACAATACACAATTTTTGAATTCATTATTGAATGCCGCTCATATTAATGCATTTAATTGCGATTAATCTCAGAAAAATGCAGTTAACACGATTAAGGATTTTAGTATTTCAGAATGCTCACTGTCCTAACTTAAATTCAGAACACTAATCTTTGCAAAATGGTCTGTATAAGGCTTATAAGAGACAGAGTTACTTATGCACCTGTTTGTTCCCAGCAGATGGAGCAGAACAACTCAGACCCCAGCAGGATGGAGCAAGGAGAGAAAAATGCCAATGAGGTGAGTTCTCTCTGACAGCTGTACATTATTTGGTGTGTGTTCTGTATGTGTGTATGGCTTGCATTAGGTTTTTGAATTCTTTTATTAATATGGGGCCATACATGCGTCAGTCACTATGGATTTTTGTTACCAGTATCCACTAAAGTTCAGTTCATCCTGTGACCTAATATTTTGATTTCAGCTCATCATTATTAATGGCAGTGGTAGAACGCTGCAGTGTAACAAAGTGCAAGATGCTTTCCCAGCAACATAACACTTAGCTCTTCAGAAAGCAGTTTGCAGCTTCATAGTCCAGGCAACAATGAACTCACAAAAGTAAATGAGACTATGTTCAAGAAAGGAAGGGGGTGTGTTGTGAGGGCATTGGACCAAAATAAATATTGCTGTGCCAATAATATCACAGCCCTTTGGGCACCAATAATATGATATGAGCTAAACCTTTTCTGTCTGTACAAGAGACAGGGAATGACCAGTCTCAGTAAATTTGACAGTTGAATCTTTGCTCCTGTTTACTTGGGAGGATAAGTTATTAGGAGCTGCATAGCTACTTCATTTAAAAGGTAAATTAACATATTTGTTTTTGCAAATTAGGTTTGTTGACTTTAGGAATCTTGTTTAAATTTAGTGTAGCATCAATCAGAATGCTACCAAAGTGCAGTTTTTATTTGTACTGCTACAAATACAGTTATAAAATAGTAAATCCATCCAACAGGCTGCTATCTCTGTCAGCACTGTTGTCCAAATACAGTATAAAGACTACTCCAAAATTTTCACACCTAATGTGTATATGTGAGTGGTACAGTAGCCCTAACAAATCCAAGTCCAAGCTACCTGAGCCACACCACCTGAAAAGATTAGCCTGGTTACGCTGCAAAGAAAGTCTGAGCTGGTGAGTGTGTTCAGTAAAAATGACAGAAGATTAGGAGTCTAGGGGCACTGGTTTGTTCACAAATGAAAGCTGTAATCAAGGTGAAATTCTGCAACAGTCCTTTTCACCAGGATGGCTTCAGCAAACAGGTACTACCACAGTTTAGGTGGGGGAAGTGCACTGTATTTTACAGGCTTGTAGTCTCTGAAGGTGGGAGTCTGGACATTGCAGTGGCAAAGGTTACCAAGAAGATGGGATCTGTAGGACTTAACCGTCCTGCATGTTCATTTCTGAGGAAGAGTTGAAGTCAGAATAACCTTTAAAATATTTATTACAATGTTCAAGAAAAGCAATACAGAGCTCTGGGTTCCGTCTTTATCTGAAGCCCTATCTGCTTTCAGGAAGCCGGAACCGCGAGTCTCCTCTCCACAGAGAATTTATAATACAGTAATGCAAATGGTATAGAAACTGTCTCCGACCGCAAGCTGCTGCAGTGGGTGGTGAAAACCACCCAACGCATCACAATGACTCCACTTCCCGCCATTGAGGGTGTCCACAGGGAACACTGTCTCCGATGTGCTCACAGCATTCTCAAGGACTCCTCTCACCCTGCACACAAACTGTTTGACCTCCTGCCCTCTGGGAGGCACTTCAGGAGCCTCCAGACCAAAACCAGCAGACTCAGGAACAGCTTCTTCCCCACATCTGTCTCCTTACTGAACTCTGTCCCCCGTTGACCCCCCCCCCACATTGTCTTCCTCTATACCACTACACACACCTCACCCCTTATCATCTCTCCTCCTGGGACTAATGCAATATGCTTCTGTTACCTGTAACACTGAAGTGATCTGTTAATTTGCACATACTCTACTCACAGAATACTGCTCTGCATTCATTTGCACACTGTTCATATGCAGATATTCCATATTTATCTTTATCTTTGCACTATTTACATCCATTGAACTGTTCACTCGTCTAACTTATTATCTTCTTATTCTTCAGTGTTTCATTGCACCTCATCCCATTGCACTAGTGTTTTATAAGCTTAATGTTCCTTGTGCATTACTGTAATTTCAATCCATAGTCTGTTGTATATCATACATTACCCTACATATCGGTAAATTAGTTCTGAGTGTACATACTGTAAATACTGTGCACTCTTCACTGCTGTTATTGCACTTCTGGTTAGATGCTAAACTGTATTTTGTTGCCTTGTACTTTTACTTGGACAGCATGAGGATGAGCTGTCTTCAGCGCGCTGATGATGTCTGGAGTTTGCCGAGAGCTGCCTTTGGGATTAGCTCTTGGACCTGTATACTCAGCAGCCAGAAACACAGCACTGTGCTCTCTTGCTAGATAACAGGGCCAGCATTTCAGCAATAAAAACTCCACATCTGGCAAACAGTGTTTATGAACAGTCCGTATATCTCCACACTACGAGTTGTTATTAAACACACACACACACACACACCTCCCCCTTTAGCCTTATTGGAGGCTACAGTCCGGTCTCTTTCGTGCACAGAGTGAGTCTGTAGCTGAACAGCGGATTCTGGCACTTTGTGTGAAACCCAGGTCTTGGTGAAAATTAGAGCGCAACACTCTCTTATTTCCCACTGTGTTGTAATCCTGGCTCTTAGCTCATCCGGTTTGTTTTCCAGAGACTGCACATTTGCTAGCAAGAGGCTGGGTAGCGGTGGTTGGCTAGCATGAGCGTTTAGCCTAGCATGGAGCCCTCCCCTCTTGCCCCGCTTGTGTCTCCGTCTCTGGAGTGCTTTCCTGGTGTCAGCCTGCTCACTCCAGCTCACTGCTTTGGGGCCTTCCTGGGGATGGCGGTGGTTGTTGCAGAAGCAGATGATGAATTGGAGCTCCGGTGTTATGAAACCAATAAATTCCAAAAGGCTGTTTGAGTTGGCGATATCCAGCAATGCCTGCCTGTTGTATGTTAGCAGTGCATGACGTGTGCACTGCAGAAAGAGCAAAAAATAAGATAAAGCCGGTATTCGAGAGTGAAGCAAGTAAACATGTCAGCTTCGGTGGGTACCATGTTGGAAACCACGTCCAAGGCATTGCAGTGGTTTGTTTCTCTGAGACAGATTTGATGCATCAACATTATGAAAAGAGGATTATGATGCTGCAGTAATGTTTCTTTCTACAGTTGTGCAGACAGTCAGAATCAGAATCTGCTCTATTGGCCAGGTATGTTGGACACACAAGGAATTTGACTCTGGTACATTGGCTCTCAGTGTGCAAACAGTAAACCAGCATAAGGCTGTGTAATATAAGTCATTTACATAGGCCAATGTTTTCCCAAGCTCCTAATCCAAGTCTTAACCTTCACAATTATTAAATGCCCCAACCCTTAACCTAACACCTAAACTAAATCTGATTCTAACCTGAACCCTAAAACCAAGTCATAACATTGAAAAATCGATTTGAAGTAGTGAGGACTGGATAAAATGTCCTCACAATGATGGTGTTGAACAAAAATGTGTCAACACAATGCAATGCGGTATGCATATGTGTATGTACTCAGAGTAAAACAATGTTACAAAATCAGTGGAAGGCAGTGCTGCCACTGCATGTACAATGTGCTTGGCAGAATTAAGTTATTCTGGTTCTGATTATGATGAAATGAAAGCTTGTATGTTATTAAGTTACAGCTGTTTGCCACAGCAGCTAATAGCCAGTGAGACAGAGAGCATGGGAATCTATTTCATTCCACTGAGCTCACACTCTTGTCCTTCATTGTCTTCCGTCATTCTCTCTCTCATCCCACAAATGCTGCTTAGTTGCTCAGCCTGGAGACGAGAGAGACAGAGGAAGAGAGAATGAACCAAAAAGGAGAGAGAGGACGAATGAGAAAGGGAGATTGTTGGAGGAGGCCCAGCCAGCTGCTAACAATTTTTAGTGTGCTTTGTGTGTGTGTTGACCGATGACGTGTGCTCCACTCTGAGATGACGTTAGGAATCCTGATTTTTTTCAGCACTGAGGAGGCATCCCAATACTCACAAGGGGCCCACATGCAGTAATGTCTGTCCGCCGTGGCTCCTCTCCTACCTCAGTGTGTTAGCGTGTGTGTATAGGGTCTCTTCCCCTTTTCCTCCCCCCTTCTTCTTTTTCTTTAGCAACCCCTACCTTTTTTTAATTTTTTCTCTGCGTTTCTTCACACTGGCATCTTTTTCTCTATGTTCCTGCTTTTTTCCTCCATTGGCAATATTAGTGGTGATGAATTTGACTTGAGGTTGAGAGCTCATCTTTTGTCTGGCCAGCAGCATGGATTGTCTTTGCATTGTCACTACTAAGGTAAGAGATGTAGCACAAATGGATCAGCGGTTAAGAGAGCGGGCGAGAGGGAGACATGGCTTGAGACAGAGAGAAAATGAGCACTGTGGGAAAATGAGGCATGCAGTGAAGCAGTAGGAATGAAACTCGTTATGTCTGAATGTTTGTATGTGCACAAGTTTTTTTTCTTCTCGGTCACTTGTGATTGCCTTCCTCACTTTGCCACTATGAGCTTATAAATTAAGAGTTATTTTTCACTGTTGCTATAGGCTTCTTTCACCATATAGTTACTGTATCTACCCAACAGGGTGATTTGTTAGAGAACAATATACTTAGTCCCTATAACTACATATCATATGTGTCAGTCAGCAGCACTAGACAGAGCTTGGGTGGCTGTCTGTTGAGATATGGCAGCAGAAGTTGGCTTAAACTTCTGTCAGCAAGTTCTCTGCTCACACAGCACATAAACACTTCTCTAAAGTTGCAAACAAAATATAGTATTATTGCACTATTATAATATACAGGTTGTAGAGCTGCAGTTTTTTAATTGAGAAAATTCCCGAAAAAAGTTAAAAAAAATTCAGTAGACTTGATCATGGATTGACCATTGTATTCCTATGAGGTCTTTAAGATATGATGGAGCCTTGTCATTAAGGGCTTTGTATGTTAGGAGAAGGATTTTAAATTTTGTTCTGGATTTTACAGGGAGCCAATGGAGAGAAGCTAATATGGGAGAGATATGATCTCTCTTGCTAGTTCCTGTCAGTACTCTGGCTGCAGCATTTTGGATTAACTGGAGGCTTTTTAGGGAATTATTGGGGCATCCTGATAGTAAAGAGTTACAGTAGTC